AAGTCCCAACTTTTCACAAGGGAGACCTCATAGGGGAGAATGAGAGCACTGTTGCTTCCAGGTGGGATTGGAAATGTAGGCCTTCCATATTGTCTCCATTGACGAGTGCACATGGCTGGGCCTCTTTACCTATTCCATCCTTTCTCTTCTCTGGCACCACATGAATAAGGCTGTTGAGAGGAGTGGAAGTCCAGTGGGAATCATGAGGGTGGAAGTTCAGGCTTGCCCGTTAGTCTTTGCTGGTGTGGATGTGGGTGCAGGTGCCCCTACATTTCTTTCTCTAGTTTTGGCTGCGGTGAAGTGGTTATTGTCTAAACATTTTCTGTCTTACTAGATTAATCCTTTCTTAGCTCTTTGACTAGAGAGAACAGGCTTTTGTTGGGGATTTGTTTTGTCTGAGCCTGTTAATGTTTTTTGTTGTTGTCGTTTCTGACTTCTTCAACTCAAAGAGTATATGAGGCAAAGAGAAAATTCATGTCATTCTCAGAATCTTCTTTTGTCTGTTTTATATACAATGTCTAGGATTTAGCTAAAATAGCAAAAGGAATAGGGTAAAGTATATCTAGTCCATCTTTCCTTCTCTTATTTTAAATAAACAGAAATACTAGACACATTCCCTTGCTCTCAGTTACATGGTTTAAAGAAATAAAATACTGTGGTCTAAAATGAATCAAAGCAATGACAATTTAGGCAATCAATACGTCCATGCTGAAAGAGGGATCGTTTGGATTTTGATAGCTTGATAGCCATGGTCTCATGCAGTCTACTGCTGTAATCAAGAGGACCCTTTCAGATGCTACAGAAGGGATGACAGTCCTTGTGAGCATCAGGCCCCATTGCGTAGGTTTGTTTTTATGGCCTGAAGTACAGAGAAACCAGCTTTGCAAATGTAGAGCTGTACTGCTTGTCTTTTGTGCTAAGGAAACCATAACTATTGTAACATAGAATGTCATAAATGGCAGACCATTCCCTCTGTCACACCCTAGTCCCTACCTCCCAGCTCCTGCTTCCCTTCCCATACCCCACATCCTCTCTTTCTGCTTTACCACACCTCATTCCTCCTCCCCTTTCCAAGCCTTCAGAGGCCACAGGTGATAGCAGTTTCCATGGTCATCAGTGTCCTTGTTAATTTAAAGTTTAATGGTCCCTAAGTGTCTGGACAGGGTTCGTAGCCTGCATCAGAGGGAGGTTTTCAGTGAGCTGGAGGCCTGTTGAGAAATTGTCAGATGTAAACTATTATATCCAAGTCGTCCTCATTTGGCACATACACTCTGAAGAGCAGAGGTGTGAGGACGTCATCCCATCCTGTCCTGGGCATCTGGAGAGTCACCATCTTCCCAGAATGTGTGGGCAAGGAATTCTATCCCTGGACTGTAGGTGCTGGAATGTGAGTCGGGAGGTCCAGCAGTTGAGCAACAGGGAGCCAACCTCCTGGAAAGCTTTTGAATAAATCACTGAAGATTCGCTCTTTCCTCATCCTCCCCCTGTCTCTTAAGCCTCTGAGGCCATGAGTTTTCTGCTCAGCTCCGGCCTGGTTTCTGTACTGAACCCAACCTTGGTCCTGATCCCACTCTGACCTGCTTTGTTCATTCACTTATTCATTCAGCCACCATTTAGCAGCCATATATGTGCAGGGCATTGTCCTAGACACTGCAGATATGCAATGGGTAAAACAGAGAGAGATCCCTGACCTCCAGGAGCTTCCAACTAACTAGGAGAGGACATGAAAAGAGCTACGTGGCAAACTGAAGCTGACCCTTGCACAAGAGGGTCACAACCTTGCTCTGTTCCTCCCTCTGTTCCTCCTCACTGATAGACTACCTACTCAGAGAAGCTTCTCCTGTCCCCTTCCACATCTGCTAAGGGAGTAAATGTGTCCCATAAGACAGTTTGAGATTCATTACTGTCACCAGTGGCATGAAGTTGGAGGTGAGGGGAGTCTTCATGAGGCTCCAAATCCTGGAGCCCTTTGGACACAGGAAGGGTACACACTGCTTGGCAGAGCAGAGCAGGCTTCTCCAGTCCTTATGTCATTAAGGCCCTGTCCTGCACCTTGGAAACAAGGCAGGTTCAGCCTCTCTTGCCCTGACCCCATCACTAATCTCCTGCTTTGTTTTCCATCCTGGATCATTCTTAGTCTGTCAAACGAGAGAAAGGGAAAAGTCGCCAGAATACTTAAGAGCCCTGCCCACCTGGCTTCAGAGGAGATGGTGGCGTGAGAATGGGTGCCAGGCATGCAAGAAAAATCCCCCAGAAAAATGAGGACTCGGGAGAATCTGAGTGAACCATTATGTGAGGGGGATGTGCTGGCCTGACCTCTGCAGCTGCTGAGAAATCCCCGGTGACATGCAGCCCTCCTGAGCCAATGTGTGGGGTCTTCCACACTGTGACTCCCAGTGTGCCAATTGCTTTGACCATGTGATTCTGGGTCATAGGATCCCAAATTTAGCAAATAACATATTTAAATTCATATTAACAGAACTCTGTTAAATAAGAATTTCACATGAATAGCAAATACTGTTTTAGTAACGCAGTAATGTTTACATATGTCCCAAATACTGCACAGGACATACTTACATAAAAACATTATTCCTTGTTTATCTGAAATTCAAATTTAACTGGCCTCCTGTACTTATCTGGTAACCCCACCTAGATGCAGTAAAAACTGCTGTGTGAGGGAAGGGTTGGTTTTATTTTTGTCTTTCAGGGCTTAGGGTAGAACCAGCGGGGGTGAGCCTCGGTCAGAAAGCTATCCACTGGGTGGCTTGGAATTAGAAAACTCTGAAAGCCCTTCCAATTCTGGGAACACAGAGATTCTAGAGTATTCCAAAGCTCACACTGTTATTGACTCTTGAATCTTTGACACTTTTTCTCCAAGAAAGAAGAAGAACCCAGGGCAGGTTCAGTTGAACTTTGGCTTTTATTCAGTATTCCACACTACCCTTCCCACTCCTCTCTTAATGATTGTGACAGCAGCGATATACAGGTGGACATCATTTTACAGGTCACAAAGTGACTGGCCATCTGTTATAACTCATTATCATCTCCTCTTTACAAGCAAGGAAACCAAACTCGGAGATTTGCCCAGTGCCATCCAGGCCAGGCCTCCATCCATGCAGGCATTTTTATAACAAATGCTGGTGTTTATCGTGTGGCCTGTGTTAGGGGACGGGCTACGAGAGCAGGAAGACCCAGAGTCACCCCGAGAGTCCCTCTACCGGAATGGGAGGTGGGGAGGTAGGGGTCAACTGCATAGAGAGGTGGGAACCACACAGTTCCTTAGGGCCAAGCTTGACACGAATGAGGCCCCCTCAGGTGGCTCTGTGGGGTGAGAGAGTGGCCACTCAGTACCCAGAAACAGCTATTCCTCTCAGCAAGTCTCCACTTGCTGCCTTGGCACTGCTCCTGGGACCCTGTGCCGTGGGCGCTTGGCCCACAGCCCACCCCCAGCTGGGCTGAGGCAGCTTCTCCATCTCCTTGGCAGGAAAAGTGCGGATTTTTTCCCTGCCAGGCTCCCACAGGGACTTGCAGGGGGTGGGAGGAAGGAGAGAATGTTCATCTTCCTCTGCCCTGCCCCCAGCTCCAACCCCTTTATCAAACTCAATCCTTCGTGGACTCTCAGTTACAACCAGATCAGAAGAGGGCTGATGCTGTTTCAACAGGGCCTCCTGTCAAGTCCAGAGCCCACTGCACCCCCTCACTGCTCACCTGCCACTGGAGCAAGCCTCTGGAAATCCAGGGTCGATAGTATACTTCAGAAACCAACACCCCTGTCCACTAGGGGCCAAATCAGAATCTTGGCCATCACCTGCACCTGTACACCAAGTCCCTAGGCTAGTCCCTAGACTCTTCCCTACCTGCCTGAGCCTTTTTGTAATTTAATTTTTTAATCAGCATAAATTAACTGTACAAAGGGGTTTCATTGTGATATTTACAATATGCATGCAATGTACGTTGATCAAATTCACTGCATGTATATTACTCTTTTTTTAATGACTGAACCTTTTCTGCCCCTTTTTCTGTGCTCAGTGTCAAGGAAAATGGAGTTTTGTTACCTCAGAAAGTTTTCCTAACAAGCTAGGCACATGGTGGTACACTCCTATAATCCCAGCAGTAGGGAGGCTGAGGCAGGAGGACGGCAAGTTTAAGGCTAGCCTGGATACATAGTGAGACCTTGTCGCAAAATAAGTTTCTCTAACAGGGATCTGGATCCTATCTCAAGCAATAAAGTACTCTAATGGGGAAACACCTGGACCAGCAGGTCTTTCTGTTTGGCAAAGTCCCCATGAGCCATTTTGGGGACTTAGATCATGAGCCACTAATCTGTGTGGAGGTGGAACTGACCCTGTAAGTAGGTGATGGGGAGGAAAAGGGTAAGCCATGTGTCAATCACAGGAGCACCTGGACCGTGGCGGCTATGTGCCTGAAAGTTGGCCTCATTTTGCATCTGGCACAAGTCACCCTCCCTGCTCAGAAGCTGACCTCACCTCCTCAGTGCCCATAGGATTAAGGCCAGACGCTGTGTCCCGAGGTCCAGACTTGGAGATTGGCCCTGCTACTCTCCTCTGCCTCACTTCCTGTGAACCCCTTCACAGATCCACCATTCCAGCTGAGGGGAAAGGCGTCCAGGGTTGGGTGGGGCCACGGTGGGTCCTCAAGTGACCCTTTCACTGACACACCACACACAGTTGGGCCTCAGAAGCAGAGAGGTTCACTCCAGGCCTTCATGCACACTTTTCTATCCAGGTGCGCAAGGGCATGTCACAATCACAGCCAAGGCAAGCTCAAGTGGGTAAGAGTGCAGGTGGGTAGGCAGCTGGAAGGACTTGGACAAGCAGAGGTGGTGTGTGGCCCTTCGAGGAGGAGAGGTGTGTTGGGGGCGGAGACAGGGCAGTGGCAGGAGAAAAGAGCCTGGACAGAGGGAGCATCATGAGCTACTGAGCACTCAGGGGCAGGCAACCGGGCAGCACTTATCTGGAGCCTCTGGGATCCTGGACGTGATGTCCTTGCCCTCCAAGAAGGAGATTAAGGCCGCCCTGGAGGTCTTTGCTATTTTCCAGTGGGCTCTCAGTGTCTTCCTGATCAGTGAGTGTTCTGGCTATCCTAGAATGACCATCCTATCCCCTGGGGTTGAAGGATCTTGGGTTTGTGGGATGTTCAGTGCTTGCATTGGGGTTGTCTCAGGCAAAGCAGGACAGTAGGTCACCTTGACCTGGGGCTTCACCCACTTGGGCGTGGTATTTGTGCGATTTGCGAGTGAGCTCGTGGGCATGTGTGTGTGCATACAGGTATGTGTCTATGCAGTGGTGTGAACTTGGGCGTGTGCACGCAAGTGTCTTGCTGCAGGTGTGTGTGGGGAGCTGTTCTGAGTGTGCTTTGAGGCGTGGCAGGTATGTTAGAGGATGATGGGAAGCAGGTCCACTGAGGCCAGCTGAGGACAAGGGCTTGACTCCAACTTCAGGGACTCAAGCAGAGCACAGAGTGACACAGTTGACCTGGTGGTGGAGGAGGCTTTAGAAACCCGTCGGCCAGAGGAATTCAACCATTCAGCCATCCAGGTTTTCAGTGTTCCAACACTTTGTACCCCAAACACTTTGAGAGCCTTACTTACACTGTGACCACTGGACTGCTCCATTGTGTTTTAGATTCTGACACAAGCCATCCCTGTGGGAGGGGTCCTGGAAACACTCTTGCCTGTCGGTGGTTCACTTGAGTACTGGCATGAATTAAATGATCTTGTAAGGTATCTGCAAATGAAGAATGTAGTTAGGACCTGGGAACTTGGGGGTGGCACAGGGGCATGCCAATGAATAGGAAGGGTGGACATTCATTACTCAACTTACCACCAGTTAGAGGCCTGGGAATAGGGGGCTTAGAGGCCTGCTTTGGGTGGGTACCTGGGCTCCCAATACTGAAAAGAGCAGTGTTTTTTTTTTTGTGGTACTGGGATTTGAACTCAGGGCCTACACCTTGAGTCATGCCACCAGCCTTTTTGTCGGTGTGCGATGGGTATTTTCGAGGTAGGATCTCATAGAACTATTTGCCCAGGCTGGTTTTGATCCGTGATCCTCCTGGTCTCTGCCTCCTGAGTAGCTAGGATTGCAGGCGTGAGCCACCAGCGCCCGACTAGAACAGTGTTTTTAATCTAGGAATCATGGTGGTCAGAGCTGGAAGAGGCAAGAGAAGGGAACTCGTGTGTGCTAGGTACTGACTTTCAGCAGGTGTTTTCACATGTTATTTCATTTTTAGCCTATGACAATCTTATGAGGTAGGAGCGATTACTATTACTGTGCATGACAATTCATGTGATAGCTAGCACTCGAGTAACCTTTATTGCCCCTTTTTATACCAGGCACTGTGCTAAGCAGCAGATGTGGCTAACACTGTCCACTGTACAGATGAGGAAGCTAGAGTTCCTGTAATAGAAATGATCTAAGATCACATGACCAGGAAGCAGAGGAGCTGGGCTGGGAGTTGAGCTCACCTGGGTCTAAGTCCTGTCTATGAGTCCTCTCTTTTTAAAGTTTTTATTATCATATTATTGTTGAACTGGGGGTACATTGTGACATTTACAAAAGTGCATTACAAACTATCATAGTTGAATTCACCCCTCCCTCATTCTCCTTTCTCCCCTATCCCCTCATTCCTGGAATAGTTCCAGCAGGGCTCACTTTTCCATTTTCATACATGAGTACATTAGCATTTCCACCACTTTCACCCTCCTGCACCCTTTCCTTATATTTCCCCCCGCCAACTGGTACCAACCCCCCAGACAGGACCGTTTTACCTTCTTGTTCTCCATTTTTAAAAAAAGGTGGTTTTGTTTGTTCAAGATAGCTACGCAGTGAGTTTCCTTGTGACGTTTCCATGTATATATGTATCAGAACCCAAACTGGTTAATAAAGCAGAGTCCCCAAGGCCTAAGAACTGACACGGCATTGGGGATGAAGAATGACTACTATTTGAAGGCCATCTTGGGCCAGAACCCAAGGGGTCTGGAGCATTTAAGCTAGCACCTGTCTCACTCCTCACAGGTAACCACTCTTAGTGGGGATTTTTTTGGTGTGCATGTAGCCAGAAATGATGGAGATTATATATGTATATAGCACATACATGCACACACATAGGCACACATGTACATATAGACAAGAAGCATACATATAATATGGGTGTTGAAAACACAGTTTTGGTGCCAGACTACCTGTGTTCAAATTTCAGCTCTACGACTTATTATCTGTGCGATCATTAGCGAGTTATTTATGCTCTCTATGTCTTATTTTCCCCATTTGTAAAATGGGTGTACTTATGGTGTAGTAACTAGGATAGTGTAGATTTACCAGAATAACAAAGTAACCCTGAAATCTCAGTGGCTTAAGTCATAAAATGTTTATTTCTTGAATTTTTTTCGACAGCACTGGGGGGTTGAACTCAGGACCTTACACTTGCCAGGCAGGCACTTTTACCACTGAGTCACTCCACCAGCAAAATGTTTAATTCCTGTTCATGCTAAAGCCCAAACAGGTGGGTGGACTCTCTGCTCACTGTGAACACTACTGTTTGGGCTGATGGAGCCCAAACTGCAAAATGTGACACTGCAAAATGTGGCTTCAGAAGCCACTACTGCATGGGAAGGAAGCATGCAGAGAACTCTTACGTGGTCCTTACTACTTCCAATGAACAATGAATCGTAGTCTTATTTTCATCTTTTTCTGAGCGAGATTGAGCAACTTTTCATACGTTCATCAGCAATTGGTATTTCTTTTTCTGTTAACTGCCTATTCATGACTTTTGTCCATTTTTCTATTGAGTTTAAGTTGATGCTCAAAGGGCACATAGGAAATGGATGAAGAAGGGATATCACTGGGGGCAGAGAGTGGGCCACCCATGAAAAGGCCAGGATGAATGGGAGCATCCAGCACATTCAAGGGGCTGCCAGTCGTTAAGTGGGATGGGAGTGAGAGGCACAGACTTGGTACTTGATACAAGTTTATTGAATGAATGAATGAATGAATGAGAGAGGGCAGGGGAGAAGATTGTGAAAACCATGGAAAGGAGTTTGGCCTTGTTCCTGAGGGCAATGCGGAGCCAGGATGGGGTCTGGCAAAGAGTGATGGCATCGGATTTGTGTACCTGAGACAGCACAGCAACTTGATTACAGGAACATAGGAGCGGGAGTGATGATACTGGGTGGAGGTGATTTGCACTAGTCTAGTAGTGACGGCGATGAGGACAGAAGAGGAATCAAGAAATCAGAGTGGAATTTAGACGATGATTAGAAGATGCCATGGAGAGGAAGGGAGCAAGCCAGGCTGAGGGTTTAGGTTCCAGTGTGAACTGGCAGAGAGGCGGGTGGAGCAGAGAAGAGAGCAGGAGGCGGGTGGCTGGAAAGGGGTGGGCGCAGGAGGGAAGCTGCCCCAGGGGACTCTCAATTAGCTTGGCTCTGGGGTATTCTGAGAGGTAATGTGGGGCAGGCAGGACAGCTACAGGCTCTGGTGGCAGGAGATGTGCCACCTACCTTACCAGATTATATGGGGAGGGTGGGCTAAATGGCCCTTGGTATTCTCCCAGCTTTTCTCTCGAGGAATGGCGTGGTATCTGTTTGGACCCTAAAGGCCTTGAGAGAAGATGCTCACAATAAATCTGTGAGGATAGGGTAGATCCTGGAATTTGAATTCACATTTTGCTGATGAGGAACTAAGGTTCAGCAATGTCTCTGATCGCACTCATGGCAGATCCAAGATTCATCACATGGTAGGGTGCTTCTCATTTGGCCATTCACAAGACATCTCCAACACTGCCTGGGTTTGAACAAAGTTTAAGGGAAACTGGAAGGCGTCCTCTAGCCTAGATCCATATGTCTCTTTAACTTGCAAAGAAGTCAATAGTTTTATATGGCTCATCTCAAGAGCCTACAACTGCTGGCCTTTGCTCTATCCTTACTTCTGTCCATCAGAGGCAGTCATTTTCAATTTTGTCAGCTTTTTTTCTGGTATTTACTTCAATATTTCTAAATTTTACTATTTGGAATTTCTAACTATTTTCTGATGTAACAATTTTAATTTTTTAATGTAACAATTTTAGATGCTGTATATTGACTTCCTAATGTAGAAGATGAGAATCTGGCACTATACAATATTGCTAGAACTTCATCTCCCAGCCTCCCAAAATTGTTATAGGTTTTGGTTAAATGCCTGACTGTACGACTAAGAAATATTATTCACATTGGGTGATTTAGTGTGCCCACATTACATTTCCTTTCTTGTGTGACTTCTTGTTTTCCCTGGAATCAATAATTGATTCATTTAAAATTTGTTATCTATTAGACATGTATTAGTTACCGCTAACTCATCACCAAACTTTCAACAGATTTAATCTTTCAATATGTGCAGCACTGCTGAAGTCCAGTGTCTTTCTGTTACAATCTGCCCTTGTGTATAGCTGTTACTTTCAGGGTCCCTGAGGCAACTTGGGTGCAAAATTTGAGAAGGTGCTGACTGTCAGGGGTATGCACATCCATAAGATTGAGTGTCTCCTTAAACTTTATGTCCTAAGGGCATTGTTCACTTCTTCCCAGCCTTGGTCCCGCTCACTTTCCTTCTTAATTGGATCTCTTTTTCTTCTGGATCTTTTTCCTTTCTCTTTCTTGGCTTATATACTCATTTTGGTGAAGGACATCCTTTAGTAGTTTTCTGAGAAAGTGACATGGAAGACAAAGTATCCGAGGCTATGTATGTCTGAAATTGTATTCTACTCTTATACTTGACTAATAATTTGGCTGCATATAGAAAATCTTAGCTGTGTCTCAGACAAGCACAGGTGCTTCTTGAATTACCATGGGGTCATGTCCACATAAACCCATCAGAAGTTGAAAATATCATGAATCAAAAATGCATTTAATACATCTAACCTTCTGAACATCATAATTAGCAACACAGTACACTGTAGGGTATTGGTTGTTTATCTCATGATCGTGTAACTGTGAGTTGTGGTTCACTGAAATTGCCCAGCATGAGAAAAGATTGTACCACATATTATTAGCCCAGGAAAAGATCAAAATTCTAAGTCTAAAGTTCAGTTAATATTGTATCCAAATCGTCTTTGCACCATCACAGAGCTGAAACATACAAGTCAAACCACTGTAAGTTGGGAATTGTCTGTATTTGAATCTAGAATCTCTTTGGTTCAGTTAGCAGAGAATAATCCTCCCACCGACCAGTTGTGCAGCGGAAGAGAGGGGGACCTGAGCTTATAGCTAATTACTTAGCAGAAATTAAACCAATCCTGATTTTTGAGCCCATTCCTCATTCCTGCCTTTTGTGACATCTGGTCCCTCCAAATTCTACATCTTTCCTACATACTTCAGGGAAGCAGGCTTGCTTCTTGTAGGCATCCCCCTTGCAGGTGACTAGATTTCAACTTTCTTTGTTCTAAGTCAGTTACCTCCTCCACCACCTACTTAGAGCATGCAAATGTTTTGCTAATACTTCTCATCCACCATTGGCACCTAATTTTCTTTCCCCTTGTGGGTCTATATTTTTTAAAACATTTTTTGGCGGTACTGGGGTTGAACTCGGGGCCTTGCACTTGTTAGGCTGGTGCTCTACCACTTGAGCCATGCTTCCAGCCTTAAAAATTTTTTAATAATAATTTTTATGGGGCTCCAGCAAGAAGTCAAGACAAAAACTTGTGCTCAATCTGTTATGTCCAATTAAAAGTGTTTTCTGTCTACTCCGACCTCTATTTTGATCCACTTTCCTACACAATCTTACTCAAAGCTGCTTTAAAAACTAAGTGCGGTAATAATTCCAAGTGAATGTGGCTGCCTATGATTCATGCCAGTAACTCTTTCCTAGTACCCTAACCTACAGCATTCGTATGTTATTGGAGCTGAATGCAGCCCAGTATCTTCTTCTAGTCTGGTTCATATTTTCCTGTTTCTCGTTTGCCGTCTTGTGTGCTCCCAACCTGGATAAAGGTGTTTCTTCACTTTCCCTGGCATCTCCTCCACTGATGCTTCCCAGTGAAGATGTGGAGGGGAAAACTGTGAGATGGAGGAAAATTGTTCCAGGACTCACAATTTCTGGTGGCCATAGTGGCTCCCTGCCGATGAACACACTGTGGACAGAGCCTGGAGCAGTGCTGGGGCAGGTCCTGGGGGTTGTTGTGTGAGGCACAGTTGGGGAGGAAGACCCCTTGTTTTCTAGATCTGAGTCAGGTTCTTAAGGACAGAGAGAAGGGGAACTGGGGACGTGAGCACGTGCTAGGGTAAGTAAGTGAGAGCATTGAGTGGGTCTGGGTGGGAATGCATGGGAAGTTGGGGAGGACAGAAATTGGGAAGGAGGGTACGTGCGAGGGACTGTTCACAATTCGTTAACTCTGGGTTGGGCTCCCTCCAGCACTCACTGTGATCTTTGTCAACCTCTACCTGGTGGTGTTCACACCATACTGGCCTTTGACTGTGCTCATTCTCACCTGGCTGGCTTTTGACTGGAAGACCCCTGAGCGAGGTAAGGGCTGTGTTGCCACATGCCACATGGTCTTCCCTCTTTTCTCCTTCTAATCTTAAGAGGTTCTAGCCAAATCCCAGGCAGCCTTTCAGCCTGTCCCTCTTTGTGCCAGAGAAGTAGAGGGAAAGTTCCTGCTAAGGAGGAGAGGGCTAAGGGATGCCCTGACCTGTCCACCCTGGTTGTCACTTAAGAGGCTAGGAAAAATCAGGGGGTGAGAGCACAGTGTGGCAGGCCCAAAAGAGTCCAGAAGAGAACTTGGCTACATTGTCTCTGCTTTCAGGTGGTCGCCGGTTCACCTTTGTCAGGCGGTGGTGCCTATGGAAACACTACTGCAATTACTTCCCAATCAAGGTAAGTAACCCTGAGCTCCAGGTGGACCCCAGCTAGCCTCAATTCTGATGCAAGCAGTTGGGGCAGGGTGAGGGTGGAGGAAACCCTGCATATCGGGGTCTGTAAGAGTGATGTCCCTTGGAGTTGTGTACAACTCAATCTGCATGGCCAGAGCTTGCAGCCCTTTCCCTTCCCAGGTCTCTGACCAAAAGAGGAATCCACTTGCTTGGTAACAGCTCTCCTGACTGCACTTTCCCTCTACAACTTTTAAAGACTTGTGATATTTCCCCTAACCACAACTACATCCTTGCCTGCCACCCTCATGGGCTCATGTCCCATGCATGCTTTGGCCACTTTGCGACTGATGCCTCAGGCTCCTCCAAGATCTTTCCTGGCATGACTCCTTATATGCTCACACTAGGAGCCTTTTCTGGTTACCTTTTCTCAGAGACTATGTAATGTCTACAGGTGAATTGGCTCCTAGAGCATAAAACCAAAAAATGGTTTTCAAGGGAGGGGGTGGGTGGGTGAGAGCAAGGCCAACTCTATGACCCAGTCTGGTCCTGAATAGCTACCCTAGGCTCACCAGCTGGAAAGGAGGTTCCTTGCTCTTCCCCTCCTTTGAAGAGGGAGAGAGAGAGAGGGAGGGAGGAAGGCTAGAGGGACTGGGAAGTGGCCAATGACCTCTTGGTTTCTTCTGCCCACCAGGGGCCTGCTCTGTGAGCCAATCCTCCATGGACTTTCTGCTTACCCATAAGGGCACAGGCAATATGCTCATTGTGGTGGTTGGTGGCCTGGCTGAGTGCAGATACAGCCTGCCAGGCTCTTCTACCCTGGTTTTGAAGAACCGGTGTGGCTTTGTACGCATGGCCCTTCACCATGGGTAAGGCCGGCTCTGGTCCAGAGGTGGGGTGGCAGGGAGATCCAAAAGCCCAGCATGGAAGGAGGAGGGGGTTTTGAGGAAGTGGTATCTAAGGATGGAACAAGAAGTACACAACCCATTGTTGTTAACTAAAACTATCATAAACATATACAGATTTTATTTGTCAATTACAAATAAAGAAAAGGAAAAAGAGACAGGAGAAAGCCACCTCTGGGGTCGAGTAAGTTGGAGTCAGGTCCTAGAGGTATTTCTGCTTGTGAAGAAAAGGTAGTGGGCCAGCCCTCAGTCTGCGCTATCTCATGCTGGCCTCTCATCTGGGCTAGTCACTCTTTAAAGGGCACTGGCTACACACAGCTCAGAGGGAGTCAAGCTTAGCGTGTCGGGTAAAGGGAAAGAAGTCAAATGAGATGGGCCCCTGGGCTCTACAGTGATTCAGACCTAGTCATTCCCAGGAGTGGCTGGGCTTGCTTCCTTAGTGTCCCCACAGGTAGCCTGGCCTAGGCCATAGGGTGCCCACACTCAGTCTGGACCTCCATATAGCTGAACTGGGGCTGCAGAGCCTGTGGGAAGATCCAGGGATCACTGGTGGTCACATGTCTGGGCATTAAAGGACATTCTTTCCCTCTGCAGGGTGGCTCTAATCCCTGCCTATGTCTTTGGGGAGACGGATCTCTACAACCAACATATTTTCACTCCGGGGGCTTGGTCAATTGCTTCCAGAAGTTGTTCCAGCGTGTAGTACACATCTACCCTTGTGCTTTCTATGGGCGTGGCTTCACCAAGAACTCCTGGGGCCTTCTGCCCCATTCTAGACCTGTAACCACCATTGGTGAGTGGGCCCTTCTTCTGGCAGCCTCAGAGGCAGGGAGGCTTGCTAGGTTGAGTGGTGGGCTGGGGGTGAAGGTGGGGAGCAGCTGGGCTTGAGGCCTGGGGCCTGTGCTGAGGAGTGAGCTATTCTCATGTTTTTCCCTTTTCCTTCTCTGTCTCCCCTGGCAGTCAGGGAGCCTCTACCACTGCCGAAGATTGAGAACCCAAGCCAGGAGATGGTGGCTAAATACCATGCGCTGTATATTGATGCCCTACGCAAGCTGTTTGATCAGCACAAGACCAAGTTTGGCATCTCAGAGACCAAGGAGCTGGTGATAGTTTGACAGACATCCCCAGCAGCCTCATGGCCTAGCTGGAAGGTGTGGATTGGTAAAAACACGACAAAAATCACCTCTGGGGCTCCTGCTCCTGATTTGACCAGTCCTCATCTGGAGGAGGGGATGTCCATTTTATTGTTTGTCACACTTGTCTTTCTACTTCAATCTTCTTTCTCCTTTTAGCTTGTTTCTTTTTCCTTGGGGCTATGTGGACATAGTCCCAAGAGGCAAAGAAGACCCTAGGACAGAGGTGCACTGAAGACTTTCTCATGAGGGCACCAGCATTGAGGGAAACAATGTATAGAACAAAGAACTCATCTTCTGATACTGCACAGGCCCCAACTAGTCTGGAGAGTCCAACATCCCCATGCACGCCAGTTCTCTAGCTTACAAACAGTGCCATCTCCTGGCATCAATACTCTTGGAGGACTGGGTGACAGGAGAGTCAGTGGGCTGACCTCTAACCCATGTGACTTTGGGGCTGATTAGTCACCTCTAAGCCTGTTTCCTCAGCTGTAAAATGGGACTAATATTTCCCCCCTGCTTACCTTACCTCAATGGCTGTTGGGTGGATCCAGTGCTATTGGATGTGAGTGAACTTAGTAAACTCAGAGCTAGGCAAAATTATTGTCCTACAGTCATTTAACCTAGTCCCTGAGCAAACAATGCCCCAAAGTTCATGGCATCTCAACTTTTAAAAGAAAGTGTAGGATCTTGTGTTGAAAGTTTAAGTAACTGACAGCCCCTTAACCCATGCCCACTTTCCAATGGTCAGGCTCAGAGGTTGACTCTCTCTTGCCCCACCCCAGAAACTTGCTTGTACTTTCCTATAATTCTGCCTTTTGAGAGTCATGTGAGGTGGTCTGGGGCAAAGAGACTTTGTGGGATGTTCTGACAGGAAACTCAGTCTGTCTTCCTTCTGTTACTCATTCCAAAATAGGTGTCTTGGTTCTTCCCCTAACTCATGTGTGGCATCATTTGCAAAGAAGTGTTCAAGGCAATTTCTAGAATGGGGGAGAAAAAGCACTTTATTTGCAAAGAATAAACCATTAATTTACACAAACTTACATCCCAATTTATATACATTATATATAGTTTATATACACAGTATCTCACACTGGATGCTGACCCCCAAAAGCAGCAATGGGTCTGCTCCAGGCCATCCTTACAACAAAGCCCCCCCCACCCAGCTGGAAGGTCTTTGAATAAAGAAATGAATGTCACACCCCCACCCCTCCTGGAGAGAGCCCTGAAATGGATTAAAAGAACAAATTGGGTTCCTTCTTGGTGCTAGGGGAGCCCCTAGGTAAGGATGGGATCTAAGGCAGCACTAGGGTGGCCTAAGGACTGCTTGTATCTGGGCCAGTCTAGAGCCTTCCAGTCCAGAGGCAGGAACTGAGTGAATGCCTTGGAAGGAAGCAGAGTTCTGATGAAGACCACAGCTACTCTTACTGCCTGGCCAGGTTCCTGAAGGGAGCCCAGCACTTCCAGCTTAAGTCTGTGGGTGGATGAAAGAAGGGGACCCCGTGGGAGAAGGACTGCTTTACCCCTTTCCTCTGTTGAGTCTGGAGGTCATAGCTTGCTCACCATTTGGGCAGGCCACCTTCCCTCTCTGGACATCAGTTTCCACATGAGTAACACAGGGTGGAATATTGGCTTGGGCTGTATTTCCTCTAAGGGCCTTTTTAGCTCTAAGTTTTTCCGAATCTATTTGAATTCACTAAAAGTTACATAAAACACAAGCACTCACACGTGGATAAAAGTCTTTGTTTACTCCAGGGTTCCTAGCCCTTTCCTGTTAAACAAAAGAGATTGGCTCAGGATGGATGAAAGGGGAACTAAGGCAAATACTACATTTTCCAGGAAACCAGTAGCTGAGCAGCATCCAGCAGCTGCCTTTTGTGCCATCTTGGCTGTTGAAGCCCAAGCAGCTGGCAGAGGCCCCTGCCTTGCAATTCTCCTTCAAACCTCTGTCATCTGCTATGCACAAATGTCCTTGTCCCATTCTCTATGCTTACCTTGGCCCTCTTATAAACTCACATCAGTGTAATTCCAAGCTGTAAATCTATGTTCACATTCTCTTGCCAGTAAACTGCTCTACCACCTCGCCATGACTACGCCACAACAGGCTCCCCACTACCTACTGCTTCCTTCCCCAGTCTTCCACCTCTAGGCTCCTTGTGAGGGTTCACAATGAATGAGGGCCCAGTGGGATGCCTATTTCCCTCTAATTCCCTCCATGTTTGCTGGATGGGATGGGAGTGAGAATGTCAGGGGCACAATTAGGAAGCTCTTCCTCCTCTCTTCCTCATACTAATTTGATTTTAGAATCAGTCCTCTCAGGCATTCCCTCTACCCCCAAGTGACCTTGGCAGTATCAAAGTCTCTGTGGAGAGACAAGGAGTCACTCTTCATAGCTGTGGGAAGCAGGCCAGTTCCTGGAAGTTGTGTCTAGGATAATGAAAGGAAGACTTATCCATGAGGCAATGAAAATGGGTACTGCTGGGTTTCTTCCGTGGCCCTCAAGGATGTTGGTTCCATATTATCATTTTTATCCATTCTCTATAGATTGCAAATTCCACACAGTGCTGTGGTATAAGGAAATAGCTTGGGACTCTGACCTGGATAAAGCCCCAGGTCTGTGACTTAAACTGGGTAAGCCTTTAGTAAAAGCACGTCACCTTTTTGAACCTCACCTAAACAATGGCATTTATTATCTCCTTAAATAAAAAGGAAGTACCATCCAAACATTAAGGAGAGGTTTTGCCAGTTTCTGCTACAACTGCAGACTGTTTAAGGCCCTTCATAGGAGCCAGGCACATGCATAAACTTTGCCTTACTTTGGGTTGAAAGGCTGTCATCAGAATCAGACAATGGAGGCCTGGCTCACCACCTCTTGCCCTGACCCTTGAAGAGTCCAACAGTGTGGCTGTTTAACAAAGGGAAGGCACAGCTGAGAAATAAATACCTGTTGTTCTTGCTGTACAAGGGAACTCATTCCCTATCTCCTCAAAAGGAAACATGTCAGGAACAAGAGAGTAGATTGTACAAGGCTGACCCTCTCAGCTTTGGGCTGTACCTAGCAACCTAGAGCCAGGCGTGGCCCAGGCAATTAGAAACAGCATATGACCTGGCAGGAAGCTTGGGATTGGGGAGAAGGTGCCTTTGGACCTGAGCTAGAGGACAGATCCCTGCCCAATGATTAGACACTGGCTTCTCCTGAGCCTGGCTTTAGGGAAATGGTATGGGCCTCTATGGTGGCTGGTGACTATGCTCTGTCGTGGCTTTCCAAAGACAGACTGGGTCAATAGGCCATCAGCTGCTGTCCTAAGGCCTGACCTAATGATCACTTGGGTTGAAGCAATCTTGAACAAAACTCTCCTGTCCTGTTCCCACCTCTTGCCCTTTCTAGGCCAGGTAGAAAAGCTCTCCTTTGATGATGCCCAGGGAAGTCTAGGCTTTGGGACTTTGGAAGGCTATTGTGGCAGCTGCCTGTTGAGAGTCAAATATTTGAACTCAGAGGGATTTTTTAAGATCATGCATTCCAACCCCTTGCTCCAAGATACAATTCAATTAGAATTAGATGAATACTACTTGTGGTGCTTAATAAATCTTAATAAATGGAAAAAAATCTCTCTGTATCTAGGTAAGCTAAAGAATACCCCAGACTCACACGAGCACAGGTCCCAGGTCAGGCACCTGTCTCACAAAGAGGTAGCCTCCATGGAGAAAGAAGACAGGAATTGTAGTCAGGCTGGAGAAGGCAGCAATTGGGAGGGGACCCCAGACAGTTTTCTGAGCATGGAGCACAGCTGTAAACAAAGTGAGAGATATGTGGCCCCCAGTATGGATTCAGGTTTTTCCCATAGGCATAATGGTTGCGGCCATTCCTGCAATGATTCCAAGGCAGAGAAAAGTTCCCGTCTCTAGAGCCCAGCATACTGCTACCATGTGGTTCTCTGCCTGAGTGGAAAGAGCTCTTTGACCTCTTGCAGGTCACAGTGCAGAGCAGCAAGAATGCTTCCACTGTCAAGGATGCCTGATTGGCAGATTTCTCCCTTGCTCCCCAGTCTTTGCCATAGTACCCTGTGTTGTCCTTCTCTGGTCCTTTCCTTAGGCTGCAACCTATTGCCACCCTCACCCTCACCCCGAGCCAAGAGAGGAGCAGCAGCCCCCTTTGGGTCAGATGGTTCCCCCACCCCAGAGTCTGGAGTGCACCTTTGCTTTCTCTGGCCTGCTGCCCTGGATCCTCAATTTAGTGCAACAATAAATCTGACAAGAGGTTCCTCCAGGTTGAAGAGTCATGCTGTAAGCCTGTTAACATGGAGCCTAAGAAGGTTCTGCTTCGTATAAACCCCAGGGCTCCATCAACTGTTCTGTTAACTCAGGGTCATTCTGGAAAGTTAAGCAGGCCTTGTCATTCTAGAGTCACTGGGGAATAAATAGCACTGGGGCATTTCTCTCTGTGGCTGCAATGCCAATATACCTTACTCCACAGCAGCACTTAGAAGTTCTGGGAGTCCCGGCTCCTAAACCTGGAGCAGGGACATGGGCAGGGGAAAATAGGGGAATCTAGGATGCAGGGGCTTCGCCCAGCCTAATGGCCCCAAAGAAGGTGGTGTGCTTGCTCATATTGATAGAGATGTCAGCATGCACCATCTTCACGGCGATCTTCTGCCGCGCCTTGAGGAGGCAGACACCCGCAGTATAGCAAGTGTTGTAGTTGGTCTTGCCTGTCTCAATGCTGCGGGTGCACTGCAGGAAGGGCTTCTCGTCCACCACCACCTCGTAGCTGGCAAAATCAGTGAAGTTGATGTAGTATACCTGGGTGAGAGGCAACGAGAAGGGATTGGGGAAGAGAGGAAAGAGAGGGTAGGGCCCTCCCCTGGTGAGCAGACAGAACCTTCTCAGATGAGCTGCCAGTATACCTTATGCAGGGGGCAGTGTCACCTGAAGGTGTGCTAGTTGGCCAACGGGAATGTCAGTGTGATAGGCTCATGTGATGTCCTTCCCCTACCTGTCTTACAAGAGTAGGCCTTTCACAAACTCTCTGAGAGCCAGATCTGTGCCTTATTTGTCCCTTCACCAGCCCCCCATCCCAGGCCTGGCATGAAGCACAGTGCTTTGCACACCTTAGATGCTCAATCAATGCCCCAGACATAAGCTAACTTCCAATTTCCAGCCCTAAGGACTATTTATGACTAAACTGAGAAGTCACTGATCCCCAGGGAGTCCACAGTAATGACTTGCCATATCCCCAGCACATTCACAGAAGTCCCCTCAGCTTGCCCTCCCCATGCCTAACTCCTTTCCCTGACAGTGCACCTCGGCCCTCTCCTTTGACAATTGAGGAAACAGATCCAGAGAGATGGAGAACTAGCCACCACAAATGAGATAATGGATTTGGAAGAGCAAACCCCAGGCCCCTAACTTTATTCTGTGGCAAGGAGGAAGTACAAAACTATGCTCAATGGCTTGATGTCATGGGAATTTTCCCAGCCTGCATGGGCTGCTCCCAATTCTCTCCTAGGTCCAGAAGATTAATTTTTTTCATCTGTCATTAACCTTAGTCATCACATCCCATCCCAAGCTTTGATTCTCCATTACCCCTAAGTGGAGCTTAGTCCATAAGACATTGGGTCATACACATGCCCCATTAGGGGTTAGGACCTTTCACCTGATGCTCTAAATCACTTTATGAAAGGTGACATTCTCCACAGGCTCTTTTGGTGGGAGCTGTGTATTCAGGTGCCATATGATTTCTAGGGTCAGGACCAAGCTATGCCAGGATGCTTGCTGTGTTTAGCAAATGCTTGTTAACCCACCTTCTCTGGCCACTCTCCTGTGAGACCCATCTGTTCGCTCCATAGTTCTTCTGTCCATCTGTCTGCTTGCTGCCACCCCGCCCCCAGAAGCCTCAACCTCGGGGCTCATCTACCTCTAGATCTAAAGAGATCTCCCAGTGGAGGCAAACAATGGGGGATGGAAATGGATGGGGCACTGGCAGGCCTGTGGGGAGTGGGCCCAGGGCAGGAAAAGGACAAAAGCAGAGGGAGAAAGGCCTGGGAGAATGATAGCAGGAAGGAGGCAAGAATAACAGAAACAGAAAGACAGAGACAAATGGGAGAAAGAGGAAGGAAAGAAAGTCAGAAATCTTTTTGAGGTGGAGAGAAAGTCCACAGGAGCACTATTCATTATAATACCCAAGCTGGCAGTGTTGTGGGGAAAGGTTCTCAGCTCTGGAACTGACTTTCAAAAACTATGCTGAGACCAAGTTCAAGTTTAACTGTGGAACCAAACAATCTAGAGGGGAAACAGGGCCTGGGGCCTTTCAGGAGGGAGTCGCACAGCAGGGTGTAAGAGGGGCCTCTTTTCACACTTTTTCAATATTTGGCTAGGGGAAAAAACCCGAAACAGGCCCCTTTTATTTTTCCACCTTTCAACTCCCTCTCAGTGCAAGGGAGCCCCCTCCCCCATGGGATGATCTTGGCTGGCTTCACAGTGCCCCTACGTGGCCTGCATCCGATCTGCATTCTGGATATAAGAAGAGTTAGGCCTAAGACCGTACTCACTTCTACCTGACTATAGATGAAGTAGGTGCCGTCCACCAGTACCTCCAGCTCCCCACTGCGGGGATGTAGCTTAAACACCTTGGGGTTCATAGTGATGCGAGACCAGTCATTGAGCACTCCACCTGAAAGATCTCAGTATGAGAGAAGGGCAGTCACTCAGTACATGTCAGAATAATCTGGGCAACAGAAATAAGAAATACCAAGTACACAATCCCCAAACCCATCCCAGGTGACCAGGAAGACTGGGAAGGCCAAGCTTTAAGAAGAGTGTTTAAAAGCAAGGAAGGTGTGCTGTTTGTAAAGTGGCTGCCAGGCCTGCCTCAGGGCCCCAGGGGTCTGTATATCTGTCTTCATCCCTCTTTTCCTGACTCTTTCATCTGCGGGGGGTTGTTAACCAACACCTTCTAGCTCGAATTGGGAGGTGAGGGTTGGGGTGGCAAGAGGAGAGTGTGTACATTGCCCTGTGTTCTTTGTTGTTATATGGCCTGCACAGGCAAAATTCAGACACTGAGTGGCAGGCTAGTTCTTATTATTCAATTTTGCTTTCCCAGCCATAGCTCCTAAATCCCTTTCAAGTCTCATAGGTTCATGGGTTTTTTTCCTTTTCCTTAAGGGACTCCTTTTTATGGCTCTCCACACCCGCTCCTTTCCTAAAAGCCTTCCTGGGGCCCCAAGCACTCAGCCCAGTGAACTATCTATCTGGGGAAGCTTTAGGGATCAGGAGTAATCACTCAGACTTTATGGTATCTGGAGCTACAGACCACCAGTACCAGGCCCCATATGTGAGAAGGATCTTTATGAGAGTGAGGGGCAGACTGTCAGGTTGCAGTAGACTAGCAAGGAGGACAGGGGAGGGTGCCTGGCAGCTGAGGCATCCATGGCAAAGCATCTCTTTCTAACTCCTACCCCAGAAGGGGCCAGCGTGTAAGGGTGGGGAAAAACTTCCCTTTTCACCCTGCAGAAAGGTTGATGTTCTTCTCCATTATGAGAGGAGGGACCCAAGCTCATTGGGCCTTTCCCCTTCTTCACCCAAGAAAAATTAGGTTTTTTTTGGGGGGGGGGTGGAATTTGTGTTTTAACTCAGGGCTTCATGCTTGCAAAGCAGGCGCTCTACTACTTGAGTCACACCTCCAGTCCAAAATTGTTTTTAACATCCATCCTTTGTCAGTCTCAGAAAGCCTGCCTCTGAGGTGTGAAGAAAGAGGCCTTCTGGAAAAGAAGGCTGTCTTTCCTCAAGCTGATCAGTAGATGAGACAGGAGTTAGGAGATGACCTGGCTCCACCCCTTCAATGGACTGCTCTGCCTGATGTTCTCCCACCTCTGAACCCCTCACTTCTTCTTCTGGTGGACAGCATAAACTATTATTAGAGATTGGCCCAGAGGGACTGGAAGGAGTCTTGCTGTATGGCAGTGGGAGTAAGATCAGGAGCTTTTGGCACAGAATAAACATGGAGGCCACCACTCTAGACACCCAAACAAATCTATTTCCTGTCTGTCCCAGTCCTCCCTGGGGTCCAAAGCACCTGGTCTCCAGAAGGACCACTTGGATTTTTTCCTTCTACCGCATTCTGCTCCTATTTACATTTCTGAGATTATTAAGTCAGGTATCCAGGTTGCGGAGAGGGCAGTAACTAAGGAAACTCAGGACTGACTGGCCTCTTACAAACTATCCCCATGTAACAGGTTTCTTAACCTTCATTTACTGTTTCTGCTCACCACCCCTCCCTTCCAAGCTCTGTAAACATCTGGCATCTTGGCTAGCTTTCTGCTTCCCAAGGCTCCTGGGGGTTCATGCATTTTAGGCTTTGGGCACCCTGGGGACTGGACATTATTTCAAAGTGCTATTCTCTAATGAATGTTCATGTCTCTTTGGGGAAGAAAATGAACTTAATCATTCACTAGAGTGTACATACACATCACTGAAGTAGCAAAGCACAGTGGAAAGAGACAGATGTAATTTTGATCCTCAGCTCCTAAACCTAACTATGAAATCTTGGGCCAGTTAATTAACCTCTCTGAGCTTCAGTTTCTTACCTACATCATAAGGTAGTTGTGAGGGTCAAATGAAGTAAAAGGCAAAGAAAGTGTGTTGGAAACTCTAAAGTACCATACGAACATAAAGCAGTATGATTTATTATGGTATTATCCAATCTCTCTGGGACTCTGTTTCCCCATCTCTTAAATGCAGGATTACATTAAATCAGTATTTCTCAACCTCATGAGACATGTTCTCACCTTTGGTAGACACTAGCATCTTATACCAACTGGAGATTATAACATCTCCACCCCTGAGAAAAGTGCCTCTCTACCAATTTTCTGTGTAGTCACCAGAATTTAATTTTATGTGGTTTTATTTTCTGTAATTTGTATTGTGAAAATGCTTATTAATCTACACATATCTCCATGGTGACCCTGATATCGCCTCCCTCCCCTTCAAGAATACCTAGGTAGATAATGTCTCAAGTCCCCATTAGCTACCTCATCAGTAGATTCCAAATGCAATTTGGATGTAAGCAACTGGTCTTGGTGCAAGCAGTTACTCAGGACAGCCAGTAGAGGGCATGGTGGAGTAATAAAGGGCCCCCTCTATGCAGGTTACCTCAGGGGCTAGGAAGGGACTAGGTTGGGTGGTGATTATTTGGAGGCTTGGAATGAGGGACGGGAGGAAACTTAATTTGATTCTTACCATTCTTGACTTGAATTGCTGACCCTTGGCCCTGTAGATGCACCACAGCTGGCTGGGAGGATGAGAAAAAGAAAATCACTGTAATGGCTGCTTGCTCAGCCACCGCTCTCTTCCCACGTTTCTACCCTTGGTTTCTAGTCTCCATTTGTATCCCAATTCTGATCCTGGTCCTCGGTCTTGGGATGTTAGTGAATATATTTCTACCGGAGGATAACATGATTTTGTAGCTCTGCCACTTTCTCACTATTTGACCTCAGCCAAATGTAATGCCTCTGAGCCTCATTTCCCCAACTATAAAATGGGAATTATAAGAATCTCTGTCTGACCTCTCTCACAGGGATGTTTGAATATCAAATGAGTTGATGGAAATAAAATTGCCCCACAAAGCCATCACACACTGTGCAGCTGTGTAGATTTAGCACTGTGGCCAAACAGCTGTAGTGAGGGTGGCTACAAGGAAACAAGGCAAGGCCAGGCAGCAGAACCTGCCAATAGAGACAGATTAGTAAGCTCAAAGACTAGGGAGGAGCCTTCAGGCCATTAAGGCAGAAGCCCAGACTGGCCTTAGCCTGGAGTTACTTGGATGTTTTTCAAGGACATACTCATAAACTTCTCAGCTCCAGATCTCAGGCAGTCTGAGTGCCTACCAGGTGTGTCTGGGGAGTTGGAGGCTCAGGTGAAAAGGCCCACTGGCTGCTCATTTCTGCTGACTACTGAGCCTGGCTGTGGCGACCCTCTATCTCCTATGGAATGAGGACAAATATCCTGGCAAGACTGGGTTCCCTTAACTAAAGGCAGATCCTGAGGAAAGGGAGAGTGTTGGGAGTGAAAACCTCAGAACCTCCAGGGGATCCTTACAAAATAAAGCCTCAGGAAATTTCATAGGGAGCTGACTTCAGGGTGGCTCTAAGCCTGTAGCCTTCCCTCCTCCCCAGGAAGAAAGCAATCCCCAGCCAACCTGGTTTTCTCTAGTTCCAGTTTTATCAGCAGCACCTGCAAAATAGGACAGGACAATTAAAGGGCATGTTTCTTTCTTTCCCTTTCTCCTCACCTCAGCAGCCAGTGGCACTGAACCTTGCTCCCTGAGGCCAGCCCTGTCTGAGTTTTCTTCTCCAGGGTTTAGAGTTGGAGGGAGACAGAGTGCAACACTGGGCCCTTGGATGTGAGAGGACATTTCTTCCTTCAGTTCCAGTCCCTCACCTTCATCTTTGGTAGGACCAGCACCCATCCGGGAAGCTGGCTTAAGGCAAGCTCCACTTTGCATCCACAGAGAGCAGTGAGAGAGCATTCCTGTTACTATGTGCCCCTAAGACAATGGCACTTGTTTCTCTAGCCTTTTGCTCCCTTTCTATTAATTGTCTTCATAGAGCCCATTGCAATTTGTAAAGATCTTGTTTCTTTAATTGTCTCTCTTTGCCTCTAGGACATAAACTCTATGAGAACAGGGACCACTTAGCAATATATCTCCTTGTACATAGAAATTGCTCAATTAATATTTGTGGAATGATTGGATTTTAAAAAAAACCTATCTCTGTCTCTTGTGGCCATGGCAATACTGTTGAGCCCTGTTCGAATTACAAGTGGAAGAATCTGAGTCCTGCTGCCGAATTCTTGGACCTAGTGAAATCAGTTGTAAAGAGTTCATTTCTTTAAAACCCGAAGACATGAGTGAGGAGCAGAAGAAAGAAATAACTACTGACATAAGCCCAGACACTCTGATTCCTGTCAACCCCAATTATGCAGGTTTGGATCTGCAGCCATACCTTTTGGATGCCCTTCTGGGCTCCAGGAGAAAGATGCAAAGGCAGTGTGGTGTGGTAAGGATATAGTGCAAGAAGCACTTGGTTCCAGGATAGGATGGCCTTGTTGCCTGGGTTTGCCACATTCACAGCCTGAGTGACTCATAAATTATTAACTACTTGACAACATCTATGAGAAAGGACGCTCAGAGCTCATGTGATGAAATTATCCTAGGGCTTGTCATTTTGTCCAGTCCCCAACATTCCTCCTCATGACCTATTTCCATGCAACCATCAGCATGTGGTGCTAGAAGCTGGAAACCAGAGAAGACAAAAATCTATCCTCCATAGGAACTTCAGTGAATAGTCAGGGCTTCTTGTCTCTGCTTCTGGCTCATACTATAGGGAGGCTTAGAGTTAGGGATAGATCGTGATGGAAGGGTTGACATGGGGCAATAACAGGTGTCCTGTCCTGTCCTTCACAGGTGATACAAGCAAGAGTTGGAGTAGGCCAGACCCTACCAGTGTGTTCCTAGCTCTACACTCAGCCAGGAGACCTGCATTTCTTCTTTTTTTTTGGTGGGACTGGGGTTTAAACTCAGGACTTCATGCTTGCAAAGCAGGTGTTTTATCACTTGAACCATACCTCTAATCCATTTTGCTCTGGTTATTTTGGAGATGGGGGTCTCATGAACTATTTGCCCAGGCTGGTCTCAAACTACGATCCTCCCAATTCAGCCTCCCAAGTAGCTAGGATTATAGGCGTGAGCCACCAGCACCCAGGCCTGCATTTCTTATTATACACCAATCCTGTTCATCACTGTTTGAAACTGCTCTCAGGATTATTCACTCCTGCTCTCTAAAAGTAATTATAAACTTCCTAGGGTGGCTAGAGAGACAGGGAACTCACCAGAAGGCCCCTGGAGGCCAGGGGGTCCTTGAGGACCGGGAGGACCAGGAGGACCAGGTGGTCCCATAACAGTTGTTCCTGGAATTCCAGGAATCCCTGGAATTCCTGGGGTCCCTGGGGTCCTGGAGGTCCTGGAGGTCCTGGGGGACCATTGGGTCCAGGCGGCCCTGCCTTCTTTCCTGAAAAACAGGATTCAATGTTACATTTATAGTTCTTTACTGCTAAGAATGTACTGTCAGGAGTGTGTTGTCAGGATTTCTAGAGAGTTTTGATGATATTCAAAATCAACTCTCTTGGAGTTCATGCTAAAGAGCTGGACACCTTTATCACACATACCTGCAGCTAGATTTGAGGATATAGAAATCAGTGGTCCTCAAGGAGCTCAGTCTAGTGGGGAAATAGTCACAGTCACAGGACAGTAGAAGTGCTACATTAGTGGTAGGGACCAAATGCTGAAGAGGTCAGGGAATACTTCAAAAAAAGAGGTTACATTTCAGCTGAGTCCAAAGAATGAGAACTATCAAGCAGTCAGACCTATGGGTCACTTTGTGGTTCTTTTTAGAATTGAGCTATTGCTGGGCTTTCATGTTAACTGCCCAGTTTGGTGGACTTGATGTGGATAGCAAAAGGGAGCTGGATAGCCTGGCTTCAGGAACCCCATCAGCTCCAGGAAGATTCCTACAGGAGTTATGATGTTCTGGGGATGGATGTAGGGGTGTGGGGAGTGCTAGCTGAGAATGAAGAATGGGAAGGAGTTTTGGAGATTCAGAGTGCGTCCAGAGAGAGGGGGAAGAGAGAGAGGTGGAGAGATTGAGGATATTGAGAAACAACAGGGAAGAAGGGGAGGCAGATGGAGAGACCTAAGGAGGAGGCAGCAATCTTTGTTTCTCAGCTGACCTGTCTAAACTCTGCTTTTAAAGATTTCTGGGAAAGAAAATTCTGCAAATTCCCTTGGTTACATGTTCCAGTGTTTATCACCCCTCACTGCTCACTGTTAGGAAGTTCTTTGGTATATTTAACTGAAATCCCTCTTGTGGCAGTTTGAACTTTTATTCTATTCTTTGTGTAGACAGGGAAGAATAGTTACCACCATATACATAAAAACCCTCGTATACTCAAAAATCCCATTTTTTTAGGCTAAGTAATCCATCTTCCCAGAATCTTTTCTTAAAGGCCCTATTCTTGAATATATTATTTACCATGGTCACCAACTCCTCTCCCTTCCAAAACAATCTCAGCCCTCTTGTTTCTTATTCCAATTCTTCCAACATTCCATCAGGATAGTCACATTAAGTGAGTCATAACTGTGGTCCTGAGTCCAAGCTCTCAGCTCTTCCTGTTAACTTGCTCTGCACTGGGCAGATCTACTCAAGGACTGTAGGTAGTTATCGGTTGGTGTCTTCTTCTTCCCTTCATCACTGTGTCTCAACTTTTATCAGATGTTACTACAATGTCCTTACCTGAGGTAGTTTCTTAGTTTAGATACAATTCTCTCTAGTCTCACTTTAAAACCTTCTTATTGACTCTACCTCCATGCTCTTCTTATTCTGGATTCTCTTATTCTGGAGAATCCTGATTTATCAGGTCCTCCCTTAAGAATAATGCTTCATGTCCAAGAAACCAACTATCCATGGCAAGGTCACTCAAGAGGCCAACTGTCCATGTCTAACCCTATCTGCATCTGGAATGGAACAGTGGATCATTATGGGGCCTTTTACCCAGGGAGGAAAGAAAGGAGCCTCCAGAGAGCATTTTCCCCTAGCCTTTGTAGCCTTAAAGATCTAGAAGTATGAGCTTTAGGAGTTTTCCCTGTACATAGCAGCAAAAGATTGAATCTGCCCAGTGTCTAGATCTAGCCAATTTTAAGATGTTAAACTATCCCCCTTCACATTTGGGCAGCTTCCAAATCAGGCTTATTCAGTGCCCAAGTTTCAATTCTAGCTAGTATAGTGGAAAGAACATGGAATCTGTACTCAGAAGATAAGGATGTAAGCCCCAGCTCTGCCATAGATGTGCTTTGGGCAAATCCCTTCCTCTCCTTGAGCCTTAGTTGCTCCATCTGTGAAATGAGGAGCTTGGCCTTGATGATTTCTGTTTCCTCTGGAGACTGAGGTTCCATCAGTAGTCAGGAAACTTCCCTAGCTTGGTTGTAAAGTTTGCTTCTCCCTCTTTGTTATCTGGGTGCAATAGACAGAGGATGGTGTGTATTAGGCCATCCTGGGTCCCAGCATTTCCAGGCTTAATGGAGATTTTCCAGCTAAAGGGTGTTCTGTGGGTAGCACAAACTTCAGCTTCAAGAATGTGAGTCCCCTGCAATTACTTAATGTAATTTTGGAAGAATTACAGCCAGTAACTCCTCCAGTCCAAGAGAATAATAGTTGCGGTATAAACAGAGAATGTTCACTTATGAAAATGTTAGAAGGCATTTGAGCAAAAGCTCCTGCTGCAATCCAGTTCTGCATCTGGCCCTCTTTGTAATCAGGCAAGTGTGCTTTTCATACTTGCATACTTACAGAAAGTTAGGTCCAGAAAAAGCATGTACAAAATGACCTCTGGACTAAGAGGACTGAATTCCTTCTCCAGATTTCCTAACTTTAACATAATACTTCATAATATAAAAGCCCAGAGACATTTGTATTTAGAAAGTTGCCTTGTATAGTCTTAGATGAAAGAATATACATATTCCTTTCAAAGCTAAACTTTATCAAAGGGGCATTTCCATTACCTTTCAGCTAAGTCCCAAATGTTGAAAGAGTAATCCAAAGTGAGTGAAAGAGAGAGGGGGTTAATGGGAAGAGAGAAGGAAAGAGGGAGAAGTGGGGAGGGAGGGGGTGGGGGAAGGGAGGGAGAGGGAGAGGGAAAGGGAAAAGGAGAGATAGAGATAGATAAATAGAGAGAGAGAGAGAGAGAGAGAGAGAGAGAGAGAGAGAGAGAGAGAGTTTTAGCAGTAGGAAAATTCTACTAAAGGGTGAAAATTTCAATTTACCTCTTCAGGCATGTGCCTATTCACTGTGTCCAAGGAAATCCATATTCAATGGTTTCTAAATCACTTTTAGCCAAAGTAAATGCTTAAGGCTTATATGCATTCTCTTCCCGATAATGTTACATACACAAGGTAGCAGTGCTGGGCAATGATCTGAGTTATAATTTCTATATTAAAGGGATGTGACAAGAGTTAAGAACTAAATGCTTGAAAATCAAATTTACTTTCTTAAAAGATAGAGTATCTTGGGGGTGAATGCCCAGGCTCCACAGAGAAAGGGGTCCTCACTGATTCCAGCTCTATGACTGTTATCCTACCTTGCTCAACTCAGGTCCTCAGGAGGCCAGCCATTCCTCAGTGTTTTACAACAGGAGCACAAGTTTTACATGTAAACTAGGGTATCTCACTGTGTCAGAGTACTTTAGTGCTCAGAGGAGTGGCAAGATATACCTGAAGCCAGTTTTTTTGGCCTAGTTTGGGGTTGATAATCTACTCTAGAAAGATCCATAGATCTTAACAGACAGAGTCATTTAACTTAAAGCATTTTAATAAAAAAAAATCATTAGTTTTACATTATCTTCCTCCTAGGTCAGAAGCCAGAAATGAATAGGTACATAAACTGGCTTCACAGTTGGTTCTTTTAGTGCTGAGGAGTGGACCATATTTGTCTAATTCTGTCTTTGGAGACTCTTTTGTCTCTGGATTCTCCTCTTCAAGTAAGCAAGCACTTACTCATACAAGCCCTTTGACCAGTCCTATCTCAGGTAACAATAGCACAATAGAGCTGTTCAACTAGAAGTTTCTTTAAAAAGACTAAAGGGTCAAAGTTATACTACAGCCTACTTTTTCCATCACAGAGAAAATGATATTGACTCCCTGGCTATCTAGGAAATTGAAGAAACAAAGTATTGCTATCTTTCTATAGGGAGTATACCTTTTTCCTATAAATTGTTTCAGGTCTTCATTCCCACCTGGTCACTGACTTGAGATAAAGGAGGTGAAGAAAAGAGAAAAAAAGGATAGTGAAAGAATAAAGAAGAATGGAGAGAGATATTAACTGAATTGTTTAGAAAAGGGAACAAGAATAAAAAAACATTTTTATGTGTTATCAGAGAATCAATTCTATTTTTCATTGATCATCACTGACGAACCATTTCTTGTTCTTTAGAAAACACAATAATCAAGCAGATCACATGTGACTGAATAGAATAACTGGCAACCAATGTTGAAAGAAATGAATAAAAAAATCCTATTTCCTTGATTCTTTTGTCCTAAGTTTAATAAAAGATAATACACAGCAATTTTATAAAATATAGAGCTCAACTTACCCTTTTTCTTGTTTTTAACAGGACCTATTAGAAAAAGAAAATGGAAAATTAACTCAGTGGAAATTAACTGTTTATTCTCTAAAACAGTCACTAAGAGGGACCCCCAAGACACTGCAAATTTAAGGGAACCCTACAGTCAAGGGTCAAGTTTTGGTAAGGTACTTCCTAACTATCAAGCCTCCCCAGGCTGTTTTCTGACTATTGAAGCCACAAAAATGAGGGAAATTCTTCCCTCTAGGGAAGAATCTATTAGCCTCATTCATTGGGGTAAGAAAATGAATACTTCTCTACAGAGATGAAATGTCCAGAACGCACAACTCAACAACCTTAGGACGGCATTCCATTAATTCTGCAAGTCCTGAGGTTGAAGAGTCATGCATTCAGGTGTGGATCTGATATGAAGTCTCATGGTTAAGCTGGAAATTAAAAATGGCTGTTTTCATGAAAGGAGCACAGCAGCAGCAGCAGTTTACTTTTTAGTCACTTCCTTCTGTGATTGAATTCATTTGTTATTAAAACAGTGCAACAATACACTCATGTGGGGGCCACATGCACTCCCATTGCAATTTACCATAACTTTATGGATGCTTTAAAGGAAATGTCAACAGTTCCACTGGCAGTAAAATCACAAGCATTTTCTTGGGAATTTTTTGTTTGTTTTTGAGAGAGAGTCTTGCTATGTAGCCCAGGTTGGCTTCCATCATGAGATCTTCCAGCTTCCACCTTCTGAGTGCAGGGACTATAGGCATGTACCACAATGCCCAGCCTTGGGAATTGCTTTTAAGAAAAGTAATTTTAATCAACAGAGGGAACTCAGAAAACCCAAAGCTTTTCTAATATAGTTAGGCAACAACCAGTCCCTTAGACACAGTTTCAGTCTCTCTTATACAGTCATTTTCCCTCCTACAGACCCAATTCTCCTCATTCTGTAGATGGATCTAACTTTCTTTAGATACAGGTATTTAAAATCTGTTCCAAACTCCCACAATGATAGCATTGTACAACATTAAACTGCTGTCAGTGCCCTCTGGAGCTTACAAAAAGAACATCAAGCATTTGTATATTATTTTATAGATTATAAAGCATACTTCATATTTTCTCATTTGATCCTTGCAACTAGTCTGGAATGATCTCTACCTATGAAAGCAGGCTCTACTAGAAGGCAGCAGAGTCTCTAACCTTTAGGGCTTCCAGTGTGATCATCAGAGCCATCCAACCCCTTAAAACACCAGGTTGTGTGGGCATCCCTGGCAAGGAATGTAGGGACCTGGTGTTCAGCATACTGCTGCACTGGAGGTCATGATCTCTCATTCTCATACCCTTCCTTTTCTCCTTTCCTCTCCTCCCAGTCCTTCTGCATTTTTTTTTTGCATCCTTGATTTTTTTTAATAGCCTTGAGGATGCTTGAGAATGTACATGTTGGTTCTGGCAAGGGAGTATACAACTTAATCTGAGAAGGGCCTCCTCTTTAAATAAGAAAGCTGTTTGGGGAAGGTTTTACAGAGAACAGGCCCAATCCAATCAGCCAGCTATCAGTGGGTCAGTCAGCCACCTCACCCTCGGACAGCAGTAGGATGACAGCTGTTGCAGCTACTTTGCCTTCATAGCCAAGCTGTGCTAGTCCTGCCCAAGGCTGACTACCTCAGTTGATTAAAGATTAGTGTTGGTATACCAGACTTTAAGGAAATCAGGTAATACCAGCCAACCAGTATTCACTGAGTGGGTCTATGAAAGGTAGAACAGCAAATAGTGAAACAATAACAACATCCTCAAAGAAATCACAAGTTGCATAGAAAAGTACTTAAGAGGGGTGACTTCAGGAATAATGCTGGCTAGATGAGGAAAAAAATTTCCTAGAGGAAGTTTGACTTAAATGCACAAATGAAAGGGAAATTTTGACTTCTTTAAGCTTCTATTGTTTTAGACCAGATATACCTACTCATTACATACACATACACACACGTGTATGTATGTGTATATATATATATGTATATATATACACACCCCCACAAAAATAGGAATAAAAGGATAATAGCTTATTTAAGGCACTCATAAGTAACCACTGTTAACTTTTTAAGTGTATCTAGAAATCTATGTATATAAATATATATTTTGACAAAATGGGATCAAATTTTGTTCTTTGATAACTTTTTTCTTATGTAAAATGTTTTTTTATTTGTGGTGCTGGGAATCAAACCCAGGGCTTGCGCATGCTAAGCAAGTGTTCTACCATTGAGCTACAAAAGTCCTCCTTTTTTGTTGGTAAATACTTTCTACACTGTCATTTTTGGTATGAATACACCAGCATTTAATTAATCACCTTTGATGAACATTTAGATTGTTTCCAGTTTTTCACAATTATAAACAATGCTAAAATTAATGTTTTTACATGTGTACTTTTTTTTTTTTGCAGTACTGGAGTTTGAACTCAGAGCTTCACACTTGCTAGGGCAGGGGCTCTACTGCTTAAGCCTCACTTCCAGTCCTTTTTGCTGTGGCTATTTTGGAGATAGGGCTCACTTTTTGGCCAAGCAGGCCTGGAGCTGTGATCCTTCCATTCTCAGTCTCCCATGTAACTTGGGATGACAGGTGCATGCCTTGCACCCAGCTATTGGTTGAGATGGAGATCTCAAGAACTATTTGCCTGGACTGCCTTTGATCTGCAATCCTCATGATCTCAGCCTCCCAAGTAGCTAGGATTACAAGCTCTCGTGAGCCACTGGCACCTGGTTATGTGTACATTTTTATACACTCATTGGAAGATTTTTAAAGAATATATCATTAGAAATGATACTGTTGACTAAAAAGCTTCTGTTCATCAAAAGAAATGGTCTCTAAACTGAAGAGAACAACCACAGAGTGGGAGAAAATATTTGCCAACTATACATCAGACAAAGGACTGATAACCAGAATATATAGGGAACTTAAAAAACTAAATTCTCCCAAAACTAATGAACCAATAAAGAAATAGGCACGTGAACTAAACAGAACTTTCTCAAAAGAAGAAATTCAAATGGCCAGAAAACACATGAAAAAATGCTCACCATCTCTAGCAATAAAGGAAATGCAAATTAAAACCACGCTAAGATTCCACCTCACCCCTGTTAGAATAGCCATCATCAGCAACACCACCAACAACAGGTGTTGGCGAGGATGAGGGGAAAAAGGAACCCTCTTACACTGTTGGTGGGAATGTAGACTAGTACAACCACTCTGGAAAAAAATTTGGAGGCTACTTAAAAAGCTGGACATCGATTTACCATTTGATCCAGCAATACCACTCTTGGGGATATACCCAAAAGACTGTTACTCCAGAGGCACCTGCACACCCATGTTTATTGCGGCACTATTCACAATAGCCAAGTTATGGAAACAGCCAAGATGCCCCACCACTGACGAATGGATTAAGAAAATGTGGTATCTATACACAATGGAATTTTATGCAGCCATGAAGAAGAACGAAATGTTATCATTCGCTGGTAAACGGATGGAATTGGAGAACATCATTCTGAGTGAGGTTAGCCTGGCCCAAAAGACCAAAAATCGTATGTTCTCCCTCATATGCAGACATTAGATCAAGGGCAAACACAACAAGGGGATTGGACTTTGAGCACATGATAAAAGCGAGAGCACACAAGGGAGGGGTGAGGATAGGTAAGACACCTAAAAAACTAGCTAGCATTTGTTGCCCTTAACGGAGAGAAACTAAAGCAGATACCTTAAAGTAACTGAGGCCAATAGGAAAAGGGGAAAAGGTACTAGAGAAAAGGTTAGATCAAAAAGAATTAACCTAGAAGGTAACACCCATGCACAGGAAATCAATGTGAGTCAATGCCCTGTATAGCTATCCTTATCTCAACCAGCAAAAACCCTTGTTCCTTCCTATTATTGCTTATACTCTCTCTACAACAAAATTAGAAATAAGGGCAAAATAGTTGTTGCCCTTAACGCAGAGAAACTAAAACAGATACCTTAAAGCAACTGAGGCCAATAGGAAAAGGGGACCAGGAACTAGAGAAAAGGTTAGATCAAAAAGAATTAACCTAGAAGGTAACACACACACACAGGAAATCAATGTGAGTCAATGCCCTGTATAGCTATCCTTATCTCAACCAGCAAAACCCCTTGTTCCTTCCTATTATTGCTTATACTCTCTCTACAAAAAATTAGAGATAAGGGCAAAATAGTTTCTGCTGGGTATTGAGGGGGGAGCGGGAGGGGGTGGATTGGGTGGTAAGGGAGGGGTGGGGGCAGGGGGAGAAATGAACCAAGCCTTGTATGCACATATGAATAATAAAAGAAAAATGAAAAAAAAAAAAAAAAAAAAAAAAAAAGGGCAAAATAGTTTCTGCTGGGTATTGAGGGGGGGGGAGAGGGAGGGGGC